TTTTTTTTTTTTTTTTTTTTTTTTTTTTTTTTAAATATCGCTCTTCTGAGCTTTCAGCACTAGTTAACCGTAGTTTTGCTTCGGTAGTATTGAAGTAAAACAGGATTTTAAACCTGCTGGACTCTTCGGGGAGGGAGCACGGTGTGGGGGGGAGGGTTTGGGCTCCGGCTCGTGTCGGTGGATCCGCAGTGATTTGCTCCGCTGGAGTTTTCAGAGCTCGGGCTGCGCTGGCGTTACCTGCTGCGGGTTTGCACGAGGTCCCTTTTCCAACGCCAGGCTTCCTTTTGGGTGGTGGAAGCAGGAATTCTGCCCAAAAGGTACAGCTGGCCCCGAGGAGCGGAGCGGCCGCGCTGGGATGCGAAGCCGGAGCCGTCGCTTCCAGCCCGGGGGGGTGTTTGCTCGGAGGGTCCTCTCTGCCGGTACCCAGGGGGCTGGGGGCGACCAGGGGGGCTCTGTCTGCAGGAGGCGCTGGGCTGGGGCTCCCCTCGCCCCGCTTTGCGTTTTTTGGGGGGGGATAATTAAAAGGCAACTTGGTAGGCGGCTCGCTGCAGCACTTGGTTTGTTTTAGTGGGGCTCAAATATCTGGCTTAATTTGGAGCTAAGCCTCGTTTTGTTGGAGGATAAATCTGTTGAGAAGGGGTTTAACTGTTGAAATGCTCCCTCTTTCTGGTGCAAATGGGAAGATTGCTTTTCAAAGTGCTTTTTCCTGGGAGCTGTCGCTCCGGCAGAATCCTGTATTTATTTCGGGCAGAATGGCACATTGTTTTATAAATATCTTTTCTGTAGTTTCAACAGAGCTGCTGGTTGTTGTGTTTCTTATATAATGCTACCGAGATCTGTCTGACTGTCTTTCCTTTGCTTTACTGTTCTCTCCCATTATCGTTCAGATTTTCCTGCTGTAAAGTAAAAAGCCCCGGGGGAATAAATCAGTGGTGCTTATTTGAACAAACCACAACTTGAAGGGAATACTTGCTTTTTTTGGGGGGAATATCCTTGGAACAGCATTCCCAACGTGGGTTGAAAACACTGATAAGTAATTTTTATGAGCGATTGCTTTTCCACGTCGGCTCTCGGAGCTCATTTTGAGCCTTTGATGTCGGGTGAGGTGGGTTCCTCCGCTTCTCCAGCTTTGGTGAACCGTCTAAAAACGCCGTTCCTTCTCTCCCCCTGCCTTCTCCCTTTTTTCAGATGTGCCCTACTTTGGATATCCCTGCGTTGAATGTCTGAGGAGCTCCAGCCGACCCTGAGCCATGTCGCAGATGTTGCACATAGAGATTCCCAACTTTGGGAACACCGTTCTGGGCTGCCTGAACGAGCAGCGGCTGCTGGGGCTGTACTGCGATGTGTCCATCGTGGTGAAGGGCCAGGCCTTCAAGGCTCACCGGGCGGTGCTGGCCGCCAGCAGCCTCTACTTCCGAGACTTGTTCAGCGGGAACAGCAAAAACGCCTTTGAGCTGCCGGGCACCGTCCCCCCCGCCTGCTTCCAGCAGATCCTCTCCTTCTGCTACACCGGGAAGCTGACCATGGCTGCGAGCGAGCAGCTGGTGGTGATGTACACGGCGGGCTTCCTGCAGATCCAGCACATCGTGGAGAAAGGCACGGACTTGATGTTCAAGGTCAGCTCGCCCCACTGTGACTCTCAGACCACCATGATCGAAGACCCCAGCTCGGAGCCGCAGAGCCCCTGCAACCAGCTGCAGTCGGCCTCGGCGCCCTACGTCATGTCCCCCTCCATGCCCATCCCGCTCCTCACGCGCGTCAAGCACGAGAACATGGAGCTGCAGGCGGCCGCCCTGCCCGCCGGCGCCGGGAAAAGGCCGCTGGAAGTCGGCGCGCGGGATGGGGCCGGGGGCGGGGGCGGCGGCGGCGGCGGCGCCAACGCGGGGCCCCTGAAGCTCTCCCGCGTGTCCTACTACGGGATGCCCAACCTGGCCACCCTCATCCCCAACGTGCAGCAGGTGCAGTACTCGCAGGGGGAGCGGACGAGCCCCGGCGCCAGCAGCATTCCCACCACCGACAGCCCCACCTCCTACCACAACGAGGAGGACGAGGAGGACGACGAGGCCTACGACACCATGGTGGAGGAGCAGTACGGGCAGATGTACATCAAGTCCTCGGGAGGCTACTCTGGTAAATGGGCGTCTCTGTCCTTGGGTTGGCGGCTCCCCTTCAGTGGTTGCCTGGGCCTTGTCCGGCCACCACGGGTGGGTTTGTGTCGTTCATCGGGCTTTTGTCTCCGAGGGCTTCATTGGTTGGGTTTTGTAGCGTGGTGCAGGAATTGATGAACGTGGTGGGCTTGGTGCTGGTGTGGCGTGGGCAGGTCCCCCCGTGCCATCGCTCGTGTCCCCAGCTGGGAGGCCCTTTAGATGAGAGGCCGCATCATCCACCACGGTCGCATCGTCCACCACGGTCAGCTCAGCCCTTCGCTCTTTCGGCTGAGGCTCCAATCAAGGAGCCTGGTGGTTGCGTGAGCCCTGTGGTGGTGACACCCCATCCCGAGGTGATGATTGAGTTCTCCTGCCATGGGTCATCTGAGAGGGGTGTTCATCCATGGGAAAGGAAGTCCTTGGTGGCCCAGTGAAGGCTGGGTGGTTATTTTGGGAATTAGTCTGCAGCGAGGTGCCAGACATGGCCCCTCTGTCCTGGCGTTTTAGAATAAGATGTTTTTTTTTTTAAAGCGGTAAATGTGTAAGGAAGAGAAACATCAACTAAATCATTTTGGTAGATGTTTTTTTTGAATATCTGCAAAAAGAAGGAAAGGAGGACTTTTCTCCCCAGTGCCTGAAGTGCCCCCCTCTCCTTTGCCAGCCTTGCCCCACACATCACTGTCGGACAGGGAAAAGCAGTTTGGGAGAGCTTAATGGTTTTTTTGTTTCAGCGTTAGAAACAGAAGTGAGTAAAATCCCTGTCTTGGCCTTCCAGAATCCATGGTTAAGGGTGGTATGGTGAATCCCTGGGTGGGCCTGAGACAGAGGAGGTGGCTTCATTTTGGTGTTGCTCACCCTAGAGCTGCTGCTCATCCCCCCAGCTGGGCACAGGGGCACGAGAGACCCCTTCCCTCTCACTTCCTTGGACACCCCCCCCCTTTCCCAGCCACCTGGAGGGCTCAGACCCTCTGGAGGATCAGGGGTGGGTACAGAGCCCGGGGCTCAGGACCAGAGAAGGAGATTCCCGCTGGGCTCTGGCGGGTCTGCATCCCACGTGGAAGCAGCTCCCAGCATCCCGCCTGGCCGAAGCTGGCAGCATCCCACATGGAAGCTCAGCCTGGCAGGGGCCTCCCTGTCGGAGCTGCAGGTGTTTGTGGCAGCAGCTTTGATCCAGGGGTGCTCCCTGGGGAGGGACATCTTCCCGCCGGCTCCGGCCGCGCGCGGCATCCGCTCGCCTGGAGCCGCCTTCCCTGCTCTGGACCCTGCAATTGCTGGGCTGATGTCGCAAGTGTTTCACTCGGGTGTGTTGCTGAGCTGGTGTTGATGAGCTTCCCTCAAAGTGGTTTGATTTTAGTCTTAACCAAGGAACAAGGTTTGGCAAATAGGACGACTTCTGTGACCCCAAGCCAGGTTTCCCTTGTACTGGGAACAGTCTCACCCCTGTGCCATCCCAAAGAGCTCAGCATCCCCTTGGCATGCCCCCCTGTCAGACAGCCAGCATTTATGCAGTTTTTTCCAAGTTTTTTTACCAGGCCGTGTGAAAAAGAGGGAAAACCATGCTGGTAGCAGGGTTACTGTTTCAGTATTAGAAATATTTGCTGAGAAAAGTGGACCAGCAGTTGTAGAAAATGAGCCTCAAAAGCCTAAGGGCCCTCCCAGCTGTGACTCAGGTGCCAGTGGCTGGGATGGGACGGGAGAGGAGCGGGATCAGGGATGGGGACAAGGTCAGGGTCTTCTGCACAGCTGCTGTTAGAGGCAGATTTAGCAGAAATTGGGCTGTTTCCTCACACACTTGTTTTGGTTTGATTTTGCTTTGCTCTTCCCTGCTGTAGAGCCTGTGGTGAGTGATGAGGGTTTGCCCTCGGCGCTGGGCTCGCACGTTGTTCCTCGGAGCAGTGGGATTATGCCCTTGGACACGGTGTTTTCCATCCTTGTCACAAGGCCAGTTCATGCAGAAACAGAGTGAAATCAATTCAGAAGGCGAGGGCAGGACCAGCAGCTCTGAGGGTGTCCCTAATCCTTGCGGGGCAGGACTCATCCCGGCTGGAAAAGTGAAAATCCGAGCAGCTTTCTCGGGTGTCGCTGGAGATGCTGCAGCTCGTGCCGGAGCCGGGCATCCCACAGCTGAGTTTTCCTGCTTGTCTTCTGTAGGGAGAAGACTCAAACCACGTCACGATGCCGAGGCAGGGAGGAGACAGGTTGTAGAACTCCAATATTCCACATTTCTGCTCAGATTCCTCTTCCGCACCAGCACATTTGGAGGGAGTTTCCTGTTCGAAACGAGCCAGCTCTAGTATCAGGCTTCCTGGAAAAGAGGGCACACCAGAAAGAGATCACACACACAAAAAAAATAAAACCTAAGCTATTCCATTATGGTTTGGACTTGTACAGCTAACTGTGTTTTAATTGCTGGGGATAAACTGTCCCCTCAAAAGGTGCAGAATAATAAACCCCGCGAGGTGGAAGGGAGAAGGCGGCTAATCCTGCTCCTGGCATGTCGATCCCGACAGCCTCACAAAGGCCTGGGGGAGGGGGGGGAGCCCTGTAAAATAAGGGATTGCCAAGGTTTCCAAGAGCCCTGTTTGGGAAAACAAAAACAAAGCCAAAGAGGAGCAGAGCAGACGAAGCCCTGAATTTCAGAGAGGGTTGGTTGGGGTGGTTTTTTTTCCTCCTTTTTCTCCGCTGTTTCTTTCTCCAGCTGAAGTGTTGATTGAGCTCGTGCTGGTGAGTGTGTGGTGGGACACTGGTGGCTGATGCTCTTCACTTGCCTGGGGCATCACCCTTGATGGGGACTAAGAGTTTTTTATTTATTTGTCTTCACCTCTTTTTGTAGTCAGAACCATTCTGGATCAGAGGCACATCTCCAAATCATAGAATCATTTAGGTTGGGAAAAGTCTCCCAAGATGATCAAGTCCAACCTTTGACCAAACACCACCTTGTCAACTGGACCAGAGCACTGAGTGCCACGTGCAGCTGTTTCTTGAACACTTTCACCATGGTGACTCCCCCACCTCCTTGGGCAGCCTATTTCAATGCTTGGCCCCTCTTTCCATGAAGAAATTATTCCTAATGTCCAGCCTGAACCTCCCCTGGTGCAGCTTGAGGCCATTTCCTCTTGTCCTGTCGCTTGTTACCTGGGAGAAGAGGCCGATCCCACTTCGCTCCAACCTCCCTCCAGGTAGTTGGGGTCAGTGAGACTGGAGCAGATCATCACCTTGGCCAAGGGTTTGGTGGAAGAAGAGGGAGTGAGGAGTTCAGTGATGTCCCTCCTGCAGTGGTGGCTCTGGTGTGAGGGACCAGCACAAGTGTTGGACCTGCAGAAGGCGCAGCAGATAAACGAGAGGACAAGCCCAGGGTTAAACACAGGGAGGTTTAGGTCAGGTTTAGGTGTCGGTGGACAGGGTGGCAGCTTGCAGAGGGACCTAGGAGAAGGTGGCCCAGCTCCCACTGTCCTCTGGCCACGCTCAGTGGCCCTGGTGGTGTCACCATCCTGGTGGCAGGACGGGAGCACTGCGGTAAAATGGCTCCTCGTTCCCTAAGTAGGTCTGGCTGTGGAGAACATGTGGGCCTTGAGGACACGAGCGAGACTTAATGAGGTTTCCAGCATCTGATCTGAGGAATGCACAACTCCAGAAAATATTAAACAAAAGCAAAGTATTTTTATCCCTGTTAATTACAGCGTCGTGGGCCTGAGCTGAAGTGGGTTTGAGCAGGACTTGCAGATGCTCGGCGTTTTTCTGCACTGAGCCACGTTGTTGTCAGTCAGCTCCCTGCTCAGCAGATGCAGTTAATTTAATTTTGACAGGCACAAGTGAAGTTGTGTGAGGGTCCGTCCTCCTCCCCCCTGCTCCTGCTGCACCGGTTTGCAGGGGAGAGGAGAAATCTTTATGCAGCAAATGGCTGGAATGTAAAGGCTGGACTTGAAAGTTATGAAATCCTGAACTGACAAGAGCACACTTCATTAAAAATTCATCTAAAATAGCCATTATAGAATAGTTGTGGTAATTAGCTGAGAGAATAGTTTTCTCTCCTGGCCTCTGATTCCTGACAGTAAGGAAAGAGGGCAGGGAACAGCCCAGAATCCAAAACGATGCAGCCCGTGCAGATCCCGACCCGAGCCCGGGCACGACGCGCTGCAGCGACGTAAATCACGGCTGTGCTGCTGGATAATTGCAGCCTGATGGAGGAGCTGCTTCCAGCTACAAGAATGTGACCTGATCCTACAGGGTCCCACCTGTCCCTGCCCACCCTGCAGTGACCGGTCTGACCCTGGGGAGGGGTTACTGAGGAAACAAAGCGGTCCAGGGATGCCCTGGTTATCCACCAGATCACTTTGGGGTTTTGCTGGGGGATTCAAACATCTCAACTCCTGTAGCTGACAAGGTGCTGATTGGACTGGCTGATTTTGGAAGTCTTTTCCGGTGTGATTCTGTGGTTCTCTGTGCTGACAGACAGCACTGGCATCTCCCATCCCACCTCCAGGACCGGTGGTGCTGAGGGGGAGGAAGGCTCAGGGGAAAGGCTGAGCCCCACACCGGGGGCTCGCAGCCTCTGGCCTTTTTTGGCATTAAACTCCCAGTCCCACTTTCCTCCCTGTAAAACACAGATGTTTAATTTTAGGCTGGCAGATGTTTCGCTCCTGGCTGAGATCTGAGGCGAAGGCAAGATAGGGGTATTTATAAACCAGTAATATTTTTCCTATACTAATTCCAGATTACCTCCCTGTATAAATAGGTCACAAATCAAATCTCTGCATTCCAGTAGGTTGTTGTAAATGTGCTACTTGGACAATGTAAACTCTCCCCGTTGGGACTCAGTGATGGATCTGTCCCGTGGAGTCTGTGTGTGTGTCCTCTGGTACAGGTTTACATGTGCAGCAGATGCTGGTGATGCCATGGCAGGGGTGCTATTTTTGGGCTAGTCAGCCAGTGGAAAATAGGCTGATGGGATAGAAATGTTGGTAAAATGGTGCTGTTTGAAAAGAGACTTCTTGCCATGTAGGGAACAAGGGAGAATCATCCCAGTGCTGCATCCGTGGGGACTGGTGGTGCAGCAGGTGGGAGGTGGTTTCTCAGGCCTTTCCTTCAGGGCTTGAGACTTGTGGTTTCGTGTTGGGACTGTCTAAACATTAATTTTTGGGTGAGGCTCCATCACTCTGATCTTTCTGTATTTCCCAATTCCCTTCCTAAATGACAAATAGTTGTTCTGTGCCCACGGGAACGTCTTGAAGTTTGTGTGCGGTTTTGGGGAACCCAAACTGGTGGGAATTGGGGGGATTCATGAATAATTTTGAAGCCCTGATGTTTGGACTGTCAAGAACTAAGGAGAGAAGTGAGTGCTGGTGCCAGGGGTGTGTCCAGCCATTCCCAGTGATGGCAGACCCCAGCTTGTTGCCCATCACCTGTGAGGGTCAGTATGGGCTCAGCATCTCTGGTCCCAAACATCTCAGGTGGGATGTGCAGCCATCCTGGTGTCCCCAAACCCTCGTGGGCTCAGCACAAAGGTGGTGTAAGGGACTGCTGAACAGGACAGTGTGTTCTAGGGACAAGGTGGGCACGTACCCCAGCATCGTGCAGAGCCTGGAACCGTGGAGCACGGACCAGTGGGTTAGCTTGAGGCTGTTTCTCCAACCAAAATAAACCCAGAAAAATAGATATTTCCCATTCTGGACCACCTGTTGCAGCTGCAGCATCCGCAGAAGTTGGGGATGAAAGGATATATCCGAATAAATAAAATATTCCAGTGTTTGGCTGGCAGCTCTGGTGGCTTCCTCCATAATGATTTCCTGCCCCTCTCTGCTGGCTGGGAGCTCCTTTCTTGGTCAGGAACAAAACTGTATCAAACAATACTTCCCATTGTTTGCCCTTTCATTCAAAGGGAAGGAGCCGCTGCCCTCTGAAGATTCAGATTAATTAGAAGCAAATACTATCCTGTTCTCCGGAGCATAAAGGCCAAACAGACCGGCTTTCTTTGGAGACAGGGACCAGAGTGGCTCTTGTGTCCTGCTCCTTTACATAACTGATGGCTATCTGCTCCAGGGAGGTGGCACTGAAAGCCCAACATCTCTCGCAGTTTCTGTTTGGGATGGTTGAATTTTGTGCTCGTGCCTGAATGGAAACAAAGCCCCCAAAGTGATTCTGGGCCGTGTTTAATAAGAGATTTATGGACAGCGAGTCAGCAGGGCAGATGTAACCAAAATCCAGGGCTGGGTCGAGTTACAGTTGGTGTTTTTTAGCTGAATTTCGGGTTGTTTTAAGGGGTGTTTGATTTCACAGGAAGGAATAGAAACTTCTTGGTGGCTCCTTGTGTAGGAAGTGAAATATTATCAAAAGCGAAGCTCTTCCAGGCAGGATTGTCTTCCTGAAAAGCTGCTTTTCTTTCAGGAAACGGCTTTGACACCAAATCCAGGTTTTTTTCCAGGAAGGTGAAGTGAACATGGTGCTTGTCCTGATCTTTCTCCTCCCTGCCTCATTATTGCTACTCTCTTTGACCCCAAAATTTGGGGTTGTATTGGATGTTTCCTGTGGAGGGTGGCAGAGCAGGTGGGTTTGTCCTTGTCCACTGGAGCTGTTTGCACTTGGATGTTGGAGGTGTTTAATTTCTTCAGTGACTCCAGTCTTGAGGAAGGCTCTTGATGGAGAAGGGAGAAGGTTCAAGGCTGAGTTCTCCTCTTCCCATCACAGGCTGCAGGGACCTTCTGCTCTGAACTCTGTCTCATTTGGGTTATTGGTTGCAACTGCTTTCCCTGGAGACCCTCAGCCTTTACATCACTTAAAAAAATACCTGGAAGCCTCTAAGAAACCTTCTGAGAGTCCCATGTGGGTCTGAGCTTCCCTTCAGCAGCTCCACATCTGCTGGTTTTAGGGGGTGATGAACTTTGTGGGCGCTTTTGGCCTCCGCACTTGATTGAAGTAAAAATGAAATATTAAAAGTGCAATTTTAACCTTTTAATTCAGCCTGTGTGTGACCTAGAGAGGACTCTGATGGAAGCCAAAAACACCTGGAAGGACAGCAGAGCAGGACTGCCCTGGCTGCTGGTTCCTCCATACCCACCACCCCTCTCCTTTCTGGTTTGTTAAATCTGGAAAATACAAGTTTTTAACTGGGTATACTTTGCTTATCACTCTTTGGAAGCCTCAGAATCTCAGATCTTTGAGATTCTCCCTTGGTGTGAGCAGCAGTTGACCCCCCTCTCCAGCGGGATCTTGGATCTGGATGCTTGGGAATGCTGCTAAAAACAGGGAATATTGCAGCTGGGGAGAATTCTGTCTGTCAGTGGGGCTGTGATGGCAAGAGAAGTTTGGTTTAAAAACATCCTGTGGATTGTTTGGTCCCCTAATCCCTGAAGGATGAGGAGGGGGCATCCTCCTGGGGTTTAGAGTTTTTAGGGAAGGAGGGAGCCCCGAGGGTGGGATGCTGCCAGCCCCGTGCCTGCGATAGGATGCCACGGCACAGCCCGGCGTGCCGGGCATGTCCTACTTAGAACAGTGCTCCCATTGTCCCAGAGCCATCACCCCCTGGTTACTGCAGCAACAACTCTGCAAAACTTGTTATTTTATCTGGAGAGAGGAAAAGTGGCCCCCAGGACTCGGCAATAATCGCAGGGAAAGGCACCTCTGGAGCAGGAGACATTTTGAGTTCAGAAACGCTCCTTGCTGCGGGTTTTTGCTCCTCTCTGCCTTCACAGATATCGAAGCACAGGGCTGGGTTTGATTTTGTACTTGGCATTTAACACATCATCAGACAGTTTGGGGAAAAACAGGGGGGGTTATTGTAGAGCTGGGCTGCAATTCAGCTCTGTATCTGCTCCCCCACACCCTGGAACTGATGTACACCTGTTCTGCTGTCAGAAATTATCATTTTAAGCAATCGTGTGGTCTTGGACTGTAAATGTGATTTAGAAACAAATCTGTGTGTCCACCAGTCCCAGACTTGGGAGTGCTGGTAGGACAGCTTTTCCACGTACCTGGTTGCTACTGGGCAGTGGAGGGCTCTGGGGATGGTTCATTGGGGCAAGCTGGGAAAATGTGATATTTTGGGTTTGAAGCCACATCTCACTAACACTTTTTTTTTTTTGGCTTTTGGTTGGGGTTTTGTCTTGTTATTGAGAGGAAATGTTGGCCTGGAGAAGGCAGAGGAAGAGAAGATGCTTCGGAGGGTGAGCTGGAGGTGCTGTCCTTGGCAGAGGTTTTGGTGACCTTTCTCAGGGCAGAGAGCGTCTGCAGGGTCTGGGTTTTAACTTCAGCAGGAAAAAAACATCAAGAGAAGTAGTTATGGTCCTGAGGCAGGTGTCTATCAATTTACTGCCTGTTTTAGAACTCCCTGCTGAAGTAACCTGCCATCCTTCTGGGAGTGTTTGGGAAGCAGCTCCGTGTGCTGCGCTGGCAGAGCGGTGCCAGCTGTGCAGAGCTGCCCATTTTCATAAATGATTAACTTAGGAAAAGTTAAAGCATAATTAGTTGCTAGGAGTCCCTCTTGCAGAACCTGAGGCTGCTGTGGTGGATGGTGGGGGAGACCAGGGGATTTTCCCGTGCTTCCAGGTGGCGCCTGCCCTGCGGCCGAGCGAGCGCTCGTGCATCTGGAGCGAGGAAATATTTCCAACTGCTCCACGGAAAAGTCGAAGCCTGACCTTCTGGTGACGTTGTGCCTGCATAACAAGGTTTTTTTAATGGTTTTCCCTTTTGATTCTTCAGTTGCTCAAGAGAAGCCCGAGCAGATCCCGCTGGAGAACCGCTCCTGTGTCCTCATCCGCCGGGATCTTGTCGCTCTCCCAGCCAGTCTCATCAGTCAGATCGGATACCGCTGCCACCCAAAACTCTACTCAGAGGGAGATCCTGGAGAAAAACTTGAGCTCGTTGCAGGTAAGGAGGGGTAACTTTCCCTTGCTTGGGGATACCTGGGAATGGCTGATGTTTTCCTCCTGGAACCGCGTTCTCCATCTTGCCGGAGTCGTGCATCTTGCTGTGCCCTTGCCGTGTCTTTCTGGAATTATTCATCACCAATCATCTTTTTAAAAAAGTTCTGAGTTTCCTTTAATTTGCTGATAGAAAAATGTGTCATTAACAGGATTTATTCAATTGAATTAATTTAGCATTTTAATTGAATTCTGCAGCTTGTGTTCTCCCCGGTCGGTGGGAGCTGCAGCGCCAGCGTGTTTTCATTTAGATGCTCAGATCTAAAAACCCAACAGACCCCCTCCCCCCCCCAAAAAAAAAAAAAATTATCACGTTATAAGATTTACAAAGCAAAGGAGATAAAATTTGTGTCAGTGAGCAAGCTTTGAAAAACCTGTACAAGTTTCTTTAAAAATTTACTAAACAGCCAAACGCTGCAGCAGGAAGGAAGGGAGGGAATTGAGTTTGGTCCTTTCTTCTGCCTTTATTTTCATTTAGGGGGGAATTTACAATATTGGGAGAATTTGCTCCTTCTCTGTAAAGGATTTATGGCCAGTGTGAGGTGGAAGTTGTTTAGCTTTTGATGACACTGCTGGTGCAGAGCTGATACAATACCTGTAAAGCCCTTGGTACAAAAAGGACGTGTGGCAGCACGATCAATCCAAATCAGCTGTTCTTCCTTTCTGGTTATTTATCTCTTGGTGAGTAGCATGATTTTATTTTCAGTCTGTAGAAGGAATCAGGATTTCAAAGGATGCCCAGAAAGGTTTGCAGCTGATGGAAGATGGGACTTTGATGGAAGGCAAAGCACAGCGAAAAACCACAAGTATTTCTTTTGTATCTGGAATATTCATTTTGTACCCATTTACATTTTATGTGAGACTTCTTAAAACCATCAAGTGGTGCAGGTTATTTTCACAGTGAGAGCTGCAAATTGGCTTGAGGCAAGCTCTGCTTGATTTACATTTTTCAATCTGGAAAAAAAAAAAGGCAGATTAATATCAGTAACCGATAGTGGCTGCCTCGGTTATTTATCATTTATTAAAGTGAAGTTCCCCTCGGTGGTGTCTGGTGTTCACTGTGATGCCTTATCTCTTAAAAGACAAAATAAAACCAGCTAATTCCTGTCTCAAACCTGGGGAGACTTGCAATGGGGGGGGCTTGGTCCTGCTGGGAAAGTTTTCCTCAGCTCTCCATCGGGAGTGTTTTCCTTTTGTCTCTGATTTTTCCCTGCCAGGGTTGATTCTGCAAACTTGGGCAGCAATGTCTGAGAGGGTCTTCAACAAGGCTTGGAGTCATCCCAGCCCATCTGAGGGACAGAGGCTGTGCCTGGAAGGGAGTGTGTGGAATAAAACGGGGAACCACATGCATGGAATGAGTTGGAAGGGCCCCTTAAGGGTCACTGAGTCCAACTCCCTGTTGCTCCCAGGGCTATGAGAATTCCAGCTAAAACTGCTAAAACTAAGACTGCAAAAGCTCCAAAAACTCATCACATGGCAGAGAATACGTGGCTGATGAGGCTGAGGAGTGGGATGACTCAGGGATGCAGGGGGATGCTGGATCCTGGGGCAGGATTGGTGGCCTGTGTGTGGCAGGGAAGGGGCAGAGGGTCAGGCTCGGGCTCTGCAGCTCTGACCTCATCCAGGAGGTCAGGGACAGTCATCTTTTCCTGGAAATCCAGGAGGTGAGTTTATTTCTCTGGTAGGTGTTTTTATATCTTGAGAACAGAGTGTGTTCTGGATCCGGATATGACCCATTATTTAATCTTAATTAAAAGCAAATATCAAAACCCTCTCGTGCAGCAGAATTCTGGAAAAAAAATTGCATAACATTTCCCTGGAAGCCGATGCTGAGGCCGGAATGGTTTGTCTGTGTGCAAAGTAAAAGGGTTTGGTACAAAACCTGCTGTAAAGTTCTGTCAGACCCCTGGACGTGTCCAACTGCTTTGCAGGAGCAACTTTTTCTTCCCAGAAAACATCCTTAAAAGGCAGTGTGTTCAAAGTCAGCCATTCCTGGGCATTAGGAGGAAAATTCCCTGCTCACCAGAGGTATCAAGAGGTGATGGGTTGGGCTTTTGGAAAGGGTTAGATCTGTAACCAAGTACCTCTTCTGTGCTAGATGAGTTTTTTCTTTCATTTCTGGCCACAGTCTTTCACTGGAAAAAAGAAAAGGTCAAATGGATTGAGGTTTTCTCCCTTCAGAGAGAATAAATAATCTGTCCATATGAAATCACAGCATAAAGCCCTGCACTGTGTGCGCTGGTGAGAAAATAAGAGTCCTTTCATTGGATTTCCATGGACTTCCTTTCTGCACAGATAAAATTAGGAGCTGGGACTTGCCAAGGCCCCCAAGGCCCTGTGATAACAATCCCTGCTGGGCTTTTCCACGAATCCTGCCGTCCTCGTTGGGCTTCCATAGGAGCACGTGGGGAACGTTCTCCCACCGTGCCGGGACCGAGCGGTGCAGGAGGAGCTGTCGGTGGCTCTGTGGGCGTGGCAGGGCTTTAATTCCGGGTTCTCCCTCTCTCCACCCTCCCAGGCTCGGGCGTTTACATCACCCGGGGGCAGCTGATGAATTGCCACTTATGTGCCGGTGTCAAACACAAGGTCCTCCTGAGGCGTCTCCTGGCCACCTTCTTCGATCGGTACGTCCCCTGCGCTCCTCGTGCTCTCCCAGGGGATCGATTCCAGTCGTCTCCTGGGGGGTTTAACCTTGCACCACGTTAGTTTTCCTGGGGGTTTAACCTTGCTCCATCCTCTGCACGGGCTGCTCTCAGTTCTGGGCTTTTTCTCAGCGACGCTCGAACCCGGCGTTCGGTTTTCCGTTTCCGTGCCTGAGGTTTTCCAACTCCTTGCCTTAAAATTGTGTGATCCCTCCATCAGAGTCTGAAGGGAGGAGGACAGGGCTGTCCCCTGGAGTCCCCATTCTGAGGATCTTCCTTTGCCTTTCCTGCAGGAACACCCTTGCCAACAGCTGCGGAACTGGAATCCGGTCCTCCACGAGCGATCCCAGCAGGAAGCCCTTGGACAGCAGAGTCCTTAATGCAGTCAAATGTAAGGAGAGGGATGTTCTGCTGCCTGGTTGGGACAGCATTCCAAGGGCAGAGCCCAGACTTGAGCAGGGAGGGCCATCTCTGTTGTGTAATAATGGTGAAATTAAGTTATAGGAACATTAATTAATTTTTTTTTTAGTTTGCATCATTTTCTGATTGCCCAGAGAAGCTGTGGCTGCCCCATCCCTGGAAGTGTTCAAGGCCAGGTTGGATGGGGCTTGGAGCAACCTGGGATAGTGGAAGGTGTCCCTGCCCATGGCAGGGGGTGGAACAGGATGATCTTTAAGGTCCCTTCCAATCCAAACCATTCTGTGAATCTGTTATGTGGGGGGGCTGAAGTTAATTTTTGGTGGGTTTTGGCAGTATCTTCATATGAAACATAATTGCTACTTGACTGGTTTGCTCTGTTTTAAAGCACTCATTTTGAAGTTAATTAATTTATTGCTAGGTGCTCTAAAAAGGATATTTAAATTATGGGTTTGGCAACATTTAGAGCTGTTGGTCTTCAGCAGTAAATGGGCCCCCAGGAACCAGAGAAACCCCCGGCTGCTCCAACCCTGCTGGGTGGGATCTGCTCTCCATCAGCTGCTTTGTTAGTTTTAACGTATTTCCTTAAATATATTTGCAAACTTAATTTTTTTTAAAATATCCATGAAATGGGAGCCCTGCTGCAAATAATTGGAGGTGCTGGGGGGTGAGGAGCTGGGTGTTGCAGGAAACTCTGAGGGGTGCAGAAAGCCCGTTATATGCAGTGGAAATCAGTGTGTTCTCTCAGCCTGGAGAGTAATTCTGGAGAGGAAATCTTTATCTAAATATTCCTGTGCTGGAAAATGAAACTCCAAGCAGTTTTTGAAACTTATTTTTTAAGCTTTGGGAGATAAATCTTTCCCCTCCCTAACTCTTGCTGTGCTGCTGGAACTCGGGGGGCCTTCCAGCCACCCTCGGAGATCTGTGGAGAAAAGGGATGAGATGGCAGATGTTCAGTAATGTGACTGAACGTGGTGCAGTCAGCTCCCTGTTAGCAGCTTCACCCTGGGGAGTCCCAGCTCTGGACCTTCCAGTTGTGGTCCTTCCTGAGGCTGGGAAGGCATCGTGTCCCAGGCAGGTTTCAGGATGGCGTCTCCCTGCCTGGCTTTCACCCTGCGCGCGAGTTTTTACTTGATAATTATTCACCGTGGCGGTTCCTTGGGTGTTGTTCCGTAACTTCAGGTGCTTGGCTCCTGGGGAGGAGCAGGGTGAGGGGTTGTAGGGTCCCACAGCTCCTGCTGGATCCCGGTGGATGTGCCAGTGGAGCTGGAGCAGCCGCGCTGGCCGGGCCGCTGGTCCGTGCAGGGGACAGGCAGAGGACAATCCTTTGTGCATCCCCCTCAGCTCCCGCATTTCCCAGGCCCCCTGCTGTGCCTGCAGCGCTGCGTGTTTAAGAGCCATCAGTGGAGCTGCTGCTGAGGAGTCTGTGTGACCTTTTCCTGTGTCCATCTCTGGTTTGGTGGCTGAAGGTGCCAGCTCTGGCTGGAGCCTGAGGCAGCGCCCGGTACCTCTGGGGTTTGCTGCCTCCAGGGAGTGAGTTATCCTTGTCCAACCCCCTTCCCCTGCCACCTGGGATGTTTATGCCTTCTGCTTTTATCCCTTCCCGACCGTGTCTGCCTCCAGCTGAGGAGCCTCGCGTGGAAGCGTCTCCTTGTAGGGCTCTGCTCCGTGGGCGAGCCCGCACCCCGTGGCACCTGCCCACGCTCAGGTCTCCGGAGGCCGGGCTCGCCTTCGTGCCACCCCCTCCGTGCCGGTCTCCGTGACTCCTCAGCTCTGTGTATCCCTGTCTTTGCAGTGTATTGTCAGAATTTTGCCCCGAGCTTTAAGGAAAGCGAGATGAACGTGATCGCGGCCGACATGTGCACCAACGCGCGCCGCGTCCGCAAGCGCTGGCTGCCCAAGATCAAGTCCATGCTGCCCGAGGGGATGGAGATGTACCGCACCGTCATGGGCTCCACCACAAACAGTGTCCCCCTGGATCCCGAATTCCAACCCAACACCGCTCAGGTCTTCGAGCAGCGGATCTATGCAGAGAGGAGGAGCGACTCGGGAACTATCGTAGCCTTGAGAACTAACACGGTGAATGTAGAGCTGAGCAACGGATCCAACCAGTCCTTCGAACAGAGCGAGGAGGCCGAGGGGGCCGGCTCTGTCATCCAGGAGGCAGCTGCCACAGACGCCGTGGCATCGGATACCCAAAGCACTCCCCAACCTTTCGAACAAGGTTCGGGCTCCTCCAGCCGGCCCGAGACTCCCGTGAGAAGACAGGATGGTACTTACGGAGGGACTTTATAAGAGAGAGAGCAAACATTTCATGACCTATAAGGGATCTGTAATACTAAAGCTGCTTGCATGCATTACTAATACAAAACAAAACAAAACAAAAAAAAAAATGTGATCAAGCCACTTACCTACTGAACTGCTACTGTTGCCTGAAAAAAATGTGATTTTTATTCTGCTTGTATTTAAAATTTATGAAGGAAATAATCGCATTCGTTATACTGTAAACGACTAGGTCTGTGGCGACCTACTTAAAAAAATATTGGGCTCCTTTTTTGATATTCCTGAGGTTAGTCTATAAGATTGTAGCTTTTTCTTTTTTTTTTTTTTCCTTTCCTTTCCTTTTTTTTTTTTTTTTCCTTTCTCGTTTCGTTTTAAGAAGGGGAGGAGAAAAGCTAGCCACCCCCACACACACACCCACCCACCACCACCACCACCACCACCCCGTCATCACCCCATCCATCACTCAGCTCAGAAGTAAAGCCATCGTTAACCTTGTCCTCTAAGGAAAAGTTTTGTCACTGACCAGGAAAGCGAGGTGTGTTCGGGTGCAGGTGCTGTGACTGGCCGCGTTTGTCTCTGGAAGGGCTCGAGCCAAGTGGGACAGGGTGGGGGAAATCTGGAGTCAAAGGGAGAGCCCCCCGGGCCGTGGGTGCTGTGGGGGCTGCGCTGCTGTTGTCCCGGGGAGTTTCATCCAGCTCCTGGGAGCAGGGAAAGGTTCCTTGGGGGAGTTCAGGCTGGCACGTGTCGGGAGGACTGTGTGGGATGCAGGTGGAGAGCCTGGGAAGGCAGGTGGAGAGCCTGGCCGGAGTAGTGATTGTTGTCGTTTCTTTTCCCAATACGGCTGGGGGTTGGGTTTGGTTTCTCCCTCCCTCCCTCTCTCCCAGAGACTCCTTCTTCCTTTGCTTCTCCGTGTTTGCCCCTTCACGTCACCCCACTGCACCAGTGCAGGTCCTGGGGGCACCTCCTGGGGGGGAACACCCCCTCCTCAGTGCCTGGGAAGGGATTTAGGGAGGAATCTGAGCATGGAAAGCACGTTGTTCTTGCTCCAAAGGGCACGGAGCCGGGAGATCTTGGCGTCAGCTCCCGGCAGAGGCTGCACCGCTGCAGCCAGCGGCGTGCAGGGCTCACCCTCTGCCCCCTCCCTCCTCTCCAGGCCAGCCAGGCTCTTGGCTGCTAATAATTTGGAGTGTATTGAATGCAAAAATTTAAAAAAAAAAAAAAACAACCTAGATTTGTGCCCTTCTGTGAAGAGGTTTTGGGGAGGAGGAAGCGTTTTGCCTCCCGCTCACCCTCCGACAGCCCCTTCTGGGGAAAACCCAATGTGGAGTTATTTTGTCTTTGTTTTTCTCGTTGCAGGCTGATGTCCCCAGGCTGTGGTGGCTTTGGTGGCGCCAGCTGGCCCTGGGATGGGAACTGTGGGTGTCCTTGGAGTCTGGTGGGCAGCAGGTACCAGCTGTGCCCCTACAAACCCCAAAGTGACCGGAGTCCTTTCCACGGATCCGGCTCTAATGGGACGCTGTGGTTCCACCCAGATTGCTGGGGCTGGGCTGGGGGGATCCCCGGGCATCCCCAGGGATGCCAAGGCCAGGGTGCCCCCAGGGGATGGGGGGAAGTGACGTGAAAGCCAAGTTTGGCTTTTTCCTTTTAATCTTTCCGTTTCTAATGCTGATTATTTTTACTGTGACTTAACGACCTGCTTTAATGACGTTTGCAGCTTGTTCTTTTAACACCTTTGGGACTAGGAACAAGGTGCACAAAGAGTCACTTTTTGGCTGCTGTGGCTGTGCTCCTCCTTTTTTCTTCCCTGCTTTGGTTCCCGAATCCAGACAGCGCTTTTGCTCAGGGTTTTCTTCCTTCTTTGTATTTCCATTGGGAAAGGGGGAGCGGGGAGAGGATAACCCAACTTTTGGCCATTTGTTTTGTTTTCTTTGATACTTGAAGCAGTTTTGTTTTGTTTTTTTTTTTTTTTTTGCATCGTAATAACAAGGTTGCCCAGCCTGTGCCACTGCTCCTGACACAAAAAAAAAAAGAAATCAGCTTTGGGGGGGGGGTCCTGCCCCACATTCTTGCACAGCTCGTGGGCTTTGGCACAGCTTCGTGGGGGGGACTGTGACACCCTGGACCAGGTGTTAGGGGGCTGATGCTGGTGGAAAGGTGTGGGATGCTTTGGAAGAGTGGGAATGAGCACAGCCAGGGGCTCTATTTGCACTTTACCCACATCTCTAAACGAAACTGGGGACCACAGGGCTGAGCTCGGGGTGGGCTTTGTCCCCAGCCATCCCCAACCCTCCTCGGCCCTGGGGGGGTGTCCCCTGTGCCCCCCAGCAGAGGCTGCTGGAGGGGCACCTTGGTGGGGCTCAGGGGGGTCAGGTTTGGCTGAGGACCCTCCTGATCCCTCAAAGTTTGGGTTTGCCAGAAGTTTGAGGCAAGCTGGGAGCGGATCCGGGTGTCAGAGATCAAAAGTCGTCCCTTCTGTGTGTGTCTGTGTGCATATATATATATATAAATATAGAGAGAAAAGATATTGCAGAGGATTCCTCCTCCTTTTTGGCACTTGCTGGGGGTGGGGAGCAGGCTGAGCCCCCCAGCTGGGGGCTGCACTTGGCTGTAGGGATTAATTCTGGACCAAACCTGTTCCCAGACAGCCAGCAGGGCCTCCAGGGGGGCAGCAGCAAAGTACTTGAATGGCTTAGGACAGAGAGTCTGGAGAGAGTCAAGTTGCACAGTGAAAATATATATTTTTATACCTAGCACAACTTCCTGTATATTTTGGGGGTTTTTTTCTTTCTTTTTTTTTTTTTCTTTCCTTTTTTTTTTTTTTTTTTTTTTTTTTTTTTTTTTTTTTTTTTTTTTTTTTTTTTTTTTTTTTTTTTTTTTTTTTTCATTTGGGTTTGTTTTATTAATTATTATTATTATTATTATTAGGAAGGCAAACTTCTAAAATGTGAAGGGCGTTGGGTTTTTCCTTATCTTGGTAGATGAGGGCAAGCATTTTGCACTAATGTTTCCTGTGTGTGGAGGATTAATGATATGTTTGAAAATGTTATATGGTAATGATTGTATTCTTCCGAGAAAAAAAAAAAAAAAAAAAAAAAAAAAAAAAAAAAAAAAAAAAAAAAAAAAAAAAAAAAAAAACAAAAAACGAAAAAAAAAGGCAAAAAAAAAAAATAACCCCTTTACAACACTGAATGTAAGGTGAGAACAGAGCAGTCCATCGATTGTATGCGGCTTTCCTGAGTGCCTTAGAATTTCTTGATCATTTTTTTTCCAAGGAAAACGGATTAAGAAGATCAGATCATAACCGACTCCTTCCTCCTCTTTGTTTACGACACTATTTTAAATTCTAGAATTTGGGGCTGCTTTAATAATGTGAATAGGAAACTGCATTCATCTAGGTCTGACAGTGTAAAAATCAGAGCATCAGTATTTATGGTATGTCTGCACCTTTATTCTTATGCTTGACTATTAGCAATATTACCTGTATATTATATATCTTAAAAGTTATACCAAGCACCTTTTAAAGAGCGCAGAGTGTTAAGCACCCAGTTCCTGCCGCTGCCGTAGTGTAGGACCAGCTCCTCTCCTCCTCGTTAGCGCTAATTAACGCACCGCCGCTTCGCCGGGGGGGGGCTGCATGACCCCCAGCCCGGGCTCGCGGTGCCCCCCACGCTGTCCCGCGGGACGGGGACATCCCCACAGCGGCTTCATCGCCACCCCCGCCCCGCTTTGGTCACGGCTGAGGCTCGGGAGGAGGAGGAGGAGGAGGAGGAGGAGGAGGGATGGGAGCGGGTCCTTTTGGGCCACCCCCCCACGGGTGAGTTCTTCGAGTTGCGGTTTCCCTGCGGGGATTCCCCGCGGGGTGCGGGGCCGCTGGTGGGGAGCTGAGCTTGGGCACTCTCCGGGGCTCCCAGGGGTTCCACCCCCCCCCCCCCCCCTCCCCCCCCCCCCCCAAAACTGGAATCGCCCCCGGCCTTTTGGGGGAGCAGAGCCGCTCTCCTCCTCCTAGCCCTCGGTCCCCCCCCGGGGTTGTGCTCAGACCCCTCGTTTTTTCTGGAAATCCCCTCGCCGCGAGTGGAGAAGGACCCGCGGGAAACCGGGATGAGCCCCGGGTGCCTCCCTGGCTCTGTGTGTGTGTGTGTGTGTCCCCCTCCCCAGTCCCCAGCATCCCATCGCCATCCGCAGCCATCCCGGGATTCAACTGCTGTTCCAAGTGTTCCTGCTCTCCCAATCGTCGTGCTGTGAGAAGGGACCCCCGCGCCGGGGCCGGAGGGAGGGGAGGGGCGGGTGGGACCCCCCCAGCCCCGCTCACCCAGGGGAGGGGGGGCTGGACTCGAGCTCG